CATGAAATTATATTTTATCTTTATTACATACGTACTAGAATCTAGAATTTGGTCCTTGCAAATATTTTAAAGTTTCTTTTGGATATTACAGGTGGGTTGTCCTTCTGAAACAAGATTTTCAATCACAGCCCTTTTTGCTTCTGACAGACCTCCGAAGAGACAACCATTTTGATGTGACTTCATTCAGGGGAAAAAATAAATATTATAAGTTTTTGCTTAAAAGTACTCGTGCAAGTACTGACTTGTAAGCTGAGTATCATAAAATTTAATGCAAAATTGTGCGAAAAAGTGAAACATTTGCACAACTTTTTTACTCCCCCTCGTAACTGGCGCCCACTTTTGCCATCATTGCACAGCTGGGAAAAAAATCGTTCGGACCGCCTACCTACATGCTTTCTCCACGAACAGAGAGAGATAAACAGAGAAAGAGAGTGGGAGGGGGGAGACTGAGAGAGAGAGAGAGAGAGAGAAAGAGAGAGCAAGAGAGATAGAGAGGGAAAGAGAGAAACATAGAAAGGGAACACGGTTTTAAAATGTTAATTTACCCCTGGGGGCACTCGTGGCCAAAAGGTTCAGGTGTTCACCTCTCATTCAATGGGTAATGGTTCGAATCCGGAGAGCGAATACATTTTTTTTTCTCTAAATTTTCTCTTTTCACCTCCATTCCCGCTCTCGAGCAATGTTCTGAAATCTGCTTTCGTCTCCACTTTCTGCCCTCACTCCCTCACCTCCTTCGCCCGCTCCTCTGGGCTATTGATTCTTTCTGCAGCCTTTCTACCGCTGCACCTTGACTCTTTCTTACTGCTGTGTTTCAGTCACACCCCTGATCTTATGGTAAGAAAGATCTACACTTGGCCTTCTCGGACAAGGGTGACAAAACTCGGACGTCTTGTGTGGAAGTTGTGCTCATTAACGATCCCTTGGTGGACCAAAATCAATAAGAGAAGGCTTCGGGCGCAAACCGGGCAAAATTCAAAATTTCCTACCAATTTCCTGACAATTTTAATGTTTAATGTGTCCCGCGCGCTCATATGACTTTATGCAGTTTCGAGCGCCGTAAAACACGTACCCAAAACAAAATTTCACCAGTATAGCTGTTTAATACCTGGATATCACACGAAAGAAACAATTCTGGTAATCAGCAATGCTAATAAACCTGCTGTTTGGGGGAATGCTTCGTGATTTATACATATTATTTCGTTTAATTGTTTTCGTTTGAAACTTTAAACAGCAGGGAACAGCTTGCATGCTACGAAATAGAAAATTCGTGTTCTTTGTGAGTATAATAAGGTGGATCGAAATGTGCTGCAGCATAGCGTTACTTTAGAACTACAGAGTTCTATCTGACATTCGGTTACTGAGACCATGAGGTGGTTAGGCTCTCGAACTCGCAACCGTAAGGTCGTGGGTTCGAATCCCGTCTGGGGCCCGACCTTGTGTTCTTGGGAAAGGCACTTTACACGAATTTTCCTCACTTCACCCAGGTGGGAATGGGTACCCGGCTTTAGACAGCGAAAGATCTTGCCAGTTTTTTTTGTGTTTGAGCATTTAATCAGCTGCTTGCACTGTATGCTTCCAGGGAAGCTGAGAATGTTTTGGGGTGTTCTATGGTTTGCTGAGGTAATAATATAGTGTAAAGCGCATAGAGCCTGCTGTTGAGCGGGGATATGAGCTATACAAAATATGCTATTTATTATTATTAGAAACCGATTGTTCTATCTGCTCTATCAAAATCTTAAGATTATTCGGAGTTGTAATCAATATTAATCAAAAGCGTGTATTCGGAAAAGTTTGATACGTAAAGCGTATTGGTACTGTGCCGACAGAAAGTTATAATTCTAAGGTAGCATTGCATTTTGTGACTGCTTCTGGAATTCTTGTGAGTAACTTCTCTCTATTCACATTTAAGAAGTCGGCCCAAAAAAAATACTAAACAAATTGAGAGATAATAAATTGATGCCATTTCCTTCACATTAAACATGTATTTTCATCATTTCATATAATAAATTGAACAGACCAAGACTATAAATCCAATGTATCTATCAGTGTTCGTGAGGTTAAAACACAAGAGTTAACTAATATTTTGTTAGTAGCAAACTTAATTCTGTATAGTGTCTTTTATGTTCAGTTTTCATTAGAATTTTATTAAACTTGCAACACAATCAGGTCATACGTATGCTGAAAGCCTTGGGTGGCACTAGAGAGTAACATACAAAGAGAAGGAGAAGGAGAGATAAGGACGATATATGTTTGACAGGAAAGAAGGACCAAAATACACAAAAACACCCACCAGCCATGCCCAGAAGGAAAAGAACTAAGCACTAACTCCACTCACACGAGGGGTTTGAAAAATTCCTGGAGGACAATTTGGTTTGCAATGGCAAACATACATACATACATAAATACACAATTATGAATACCTGCATACAGAAATACATACACGTATACATGCATAAATACACAATTATGAATACCTGCATACAGAAATACATACACGTATACATACATAATACACAGTATTACACCAATACCGAATAATTTCACACCAATGCCATTGCTAATCGCCACTGTGCAGCGCCCTGACTTTTTAAGAGAGGGTTGTCGTGTCTTGCTCAAGGACACACCTCAGTGACCACCCATCTGATCCCCGAGACACCAACACTTGCTGGACTTTACTCTTAAGATTAAATTCACGACTCACTTAGCGACCCACTGAAGCCTCCTTAAGGATAGAATGTTATGGTGCTTGCTGGAATTATATCAAAGAAGTACAACCCATGGAGAACTCACATGTCTTGATGGCGATGACGTCATCATCGGGCAGCTCCTGTAGCCTGACGCCGGAGAACGTGATGTTCTCATCCTCCAGACTGGTCAGTATGGACTTTGCCTCGGACAAGGGGAGACTCTTGGACGGGAGGATGCCTGGGGAGGGGGGGGGGATAGAGTGGTTAATGTTTGGTGAAAGGATGGATGGACGGGTGGATGGGTGGATGAAGGAGTATCGGACAGCAGAGACTACTTGACGGGAGAATAGGTGGGGTTGTGGGAGGATAGAATGGTTAGTGTTTGGTGGATGGATGGAGGGACGGATGGATGAGTGGACGGATGGATGGGTGAGTGGATAGATGGGTGGACGGATGGATGAGTGGACGGATGGATGGGTGAGTGGATAGATGGGTGGATGGATTGATAGGAGGTTGCTTGGGTGTGTGGGTGGATGGATGCATGGATGAGCGAGCATCGGACAGGGGGAGACAATTGGACGGGAGGATGCATGGTGGTGGGGGGATAGAGTGGTTAGTGTTTGGTAGATGGATGGAAGGATGGATGGGTGGATGGATGGGTTGGTGGGTTGGTGAATGGATGGATCGATGGATGGATGGGTGGATGGGTGTGTGGATGGATGGATGGATGGATGAATGGATGAATGGATGGATGGATGGATGGATGGATGGATGGATGGATGGATGGATGGATGGATGGATGGATGGATGGATGAAGGAACATCGGACAGCAGAGTACTTGGCGGGAGAATACGTGGGGTTGGACGAGGATAAAACTGTTAGTGTTTGATGGATGGATGCATGGATGGATGGATGGGTTGCTGGATGGATGGGTGGACGGATGGATGGGTGGGTGGTTGAGTGTGTGGATTAATGGATGGACGAGCGAGCATCAGACAGGGGGAGAATACTAAACGGTAGGATGCCTGGAGAGGGGGGATTGAGGAGTTAATGTTTGGTGGGTCGATAGATTGGTGGGTGGATGAGTGAGTGAATGGATAGATTGGTGGGTTGATGGGCGGGTGGCTAGATAGATGGATGGATGAACAGATGGATGGATGGATGGATGGGTGGGTGGACAGTTGGGCGGGTGACTGGCTGGATGAATGGATGGATGGATAGATGAATCGATTTATGAAGGAGCATCGAACAGCAGATTACAACAGATGAATGGATGGATAGGTGGGTGGTTGGAAGGATGGATGGATGAATGGATGAATGGAATGCTGGATGGGTGGATGAAGAAGCATCAGACAGCGGACAGGAGGATAGAGGGGTTAGTCTTTGTTGGATGAATAGATGGATGGGTGGATG